TCCCAAACCATGTGGAATTGTGAGTTAATTACACCTCCTTTCTTTATAAATTACCCAGTTTGCAGTATGTCCTTATTAGCAGCATGAGAACAGACTAATACAGGATGTTTTAGGATGAAATTAACATTTAAATAGGTGGATTTCAAGTAAATCAGATTGCCCTCCATAATGTGGGTGGATTTCATCCAATCTGTTGAATGCCTGAATAGAACAAAAGACTGACCTACCTCAGGCAAGAAGGAATTCTCCTAGCAAATGCCTTTGGACTTGGACTTCAACTGCAACATTGGTTCTTTCCTGGGTGTCCAGCCTGCCAGCTAGCCCACCCTGCAGATTTTGGATTCTGCAGCCTCCATAATTGCTTGAACTAATTCCTTAAAATAAATTGGCCAGGCACGGTGACTCACGTCTGTAATCCCAGCAGTCTGGGAGGCGGAGGTGAGTGGATCACGAGGTCAGGAGATCGAGACTAACCTGGCTAACACGGTGAAACCCTGTCTCTACTAAAAATACAAAAAATTAGCCGGGCATGGGGGTGGGTGCCTGTAGCTCCAGCTACTCAGGAGGCTGAGGCAGGAGAATGGCGTGAACCTGGGAGGCGAGCTTGCAGTGAGCCAAGATCTCACCACTGCACTCCAGCCTGGGTGACAGAATGAGACTCTCAAAAAAAAAAAAAAAAAAAATCTCTCTTTATATCTATATCTATATATCTATAGCTATAGCTATATATTTATCCTATTGGTACTGTTTCTCTTCTCTAGAGAACCCTAATGCAGAAATGTTGCACCAAGTGGATAGAGAATAAATTCATTCATCCCACAAATATTTGTTTAAATGGTGCATCAACCAGAATATTCCACTTTACATATACCCTTCATTTTAAGAGATTTACATGTTTGAAGCACTTCTACATTCATATTTTTCATCTCTACTGTATTTCATCTGATTTTTGTGGTGGGCCCTAGAGAAGGTGTTTTAGGTTTAAAAAATATTTTATTGGACAGGTGTGGTGGCTTATGCCTGTAATCCCAATACTATGGGAGGCTGAGTCAGGCAGATTGCTTGAGCCTCGGAGTTCAAGACCAGCCTGGGCAACATGGCAAAACATTGTCTTTACAAAAAATACAAAAATACATGGTGGCACATACTTATAGTCCCAGCTACTAGGGAGGCTGAGGTGGGTTGAGCCCAGGAGGCCTAGGCTGCAGTGAGCCATGAGCATGCCATGCCACTGCACTCCAGACTGGGTGACAGAGTGAGACCCTGTCTCAAAAAAAGAGAAAAAAGAAAAGAAAAAAAAATTATCGTTTGACTCCCAAATGAGATGTAAAAGTGACTTTCAAGTTTAACAGATACAATCATTAACTATAATTGCTTCAGGCCTTAAAACAATTTTATGTGGAACTGGTGTTCTTTGTAGAAATTTAATTGACAATAATGTGACTATAAAATGATAGCTGATGAGAAATAAGAGAATAGTAAAAGACAAATTTTGGGAGGCATCCCCTACGCTTCTCAGTAGTGCTGGTGGAACTGAACGCTCATTGCCTACGGCAACAAACTCAACAGCAAAAATTAATACTGGCTCTTTGTTCTCCTCCATCTCATGCTCCCTGATCTCTCATTCCTTATTCCCAAATAACCCACCTGACCCCAAGTCCTTGTCTCAGACTGTGCATCGGAAAACCCTCACTTCTGATACCTAATAGTATAACAAGGGGTGAAACCCAACACACTAGTGGTTCTATATCCTGTTTCCAGGTATAAACAAAGCAGTGAAGGAAAACAAGGCTTCCAAATGTAGGAATCTGTAGGCTTTAGCTTTACTAAAAGAATAGTCATACAATATCAAGGTTATAAAAATTACTTTATTTCAAATGTGAAAATATAAAAACCACTTACATATAAACTTTAAGAGTATTGAAAGATCTAAAATTTAATTTTCAGCTTTAGCTCCTTACAAATGTACTTAAATTGAATGGAATTAACCCAAGTGTCCATCAACTGATGAGTGGATAAAGAAAATGTGGTATATATATATACCATGGACTATTACTTAGCCATAAAGAAGAATAAAATAATGTATTTTGCAGCAATTTGGATGGAACTGGGGGCCGTTATCCTAAGGAAAGTAACTCAGGAATGGAAACCAAATACCGCATGTTCTCACTTGTAAGTGGAAGCTCAGCTTTAGGTACACAAGGACATGCACAGTGGTATAATGGACATTGGAGACTCAGAAGGGAGGAGGATGGAGGGGGGTAATGGATGAAAAATTACCTATTGAGTACAATGTACATCACTCAGGTGACAGGTACACTAAAAGCCAAGTCTTCACCACTATACAATTCACCCCTGCAACCAAAAAGTGTGTACCCCTAAAGCTATTAAAATAAAAAATTTAAAAGATACTATATTCGTAACAGGCATAAATATAGAGAATATTAATCCTTAAGAGGGGAAAATATTACATTTTGTCACTGCTAAAAAGTGCAGAACTGCAGTGTTCAGTTTGTAGACTGATCAACACCCTCTCATTCCAAAGGATTACTCAGAGACAATTATAGGAACCTCATTGTTGTTGACAGTGACTGGTGAAATGGCCATATTACCCATTTCTAAACAATAAGACATGAGGAGACATGAGGAGAGGTTTGCTGTGAGAACCTCTGAAAAAGAGTTATTCAAGTCTATGAATGAGACTAAAAAAAGACTCATTTTCTTCCTCTGGTTGCTATGAGGTCTGAAGGGGCCCTTGGAACAAGTACAGCCATCATGCTACCGGAGTCTGAGAATGAAGCCAACACTAAAGATGGCAGAGCAGAGAGCTGGGAAGAACCCAGATCCCTGGTGACATACTGAAGTGCTGGAGCCTGGCCTGTTTGAACGTCTAGTTATGTGGGAATGTACATTTCCTTATTGTTTAAGCTATTTGCATCAGGGGTTTCTGTTACTTGCAGTCAAAAGCTTCCCAACTGAAACAAGGATTAAAGGTAGAGAAAAAGTAAATATTAACAGATGGTTATAAGGTATTGGGTGTTTTCTAAAACTTATCCTCTTGATGAATCAATTTCATTTATAGTAATTTTAAGTTTACAGAATGTCTTCCCCTCTGAATTGTCATTAATCATTTTTTATACTATCACATCTAACAATCGTCCTCTCACATGTTATTGCTGACAAAGACAAACCGAAAGAAGAAAATCAGCAAAATCTAGCTCTCTTTTAAGGTGCAAATAGATAGTTTCTCTTTTACAACCAGTTTCACAGTAATGGCAGTACACTTTTTCTGATGGGAGCCTGTAGAGATGGCACATGAAGGAAAGAATTCTAGAATATTCTAATGCATTTTGAAAGATAAATATACAGCTAAGCACCTTCTTAAAACTCATAATATATCCTTCACTTCCTTGCTTCCTGGCCGTATTAGGAGCATTCACATACATTTTTAATAACTTTTGTTTTTTTGAGATGGAGTCTTGCTCTGTCACCCAGGCTGGAGTGCAGTGGCACAATCTTGCCTCACTGCAACCTCTGCCTCCTGGGTTCAAGCGATTCTACTGCCCCAGCCTCCCAAGTAGCTGGGACTACAGGTGTGCACCACCACACCTGGCTAATTTTTGTATTTTTTAGTAGAGATAGGGTTTCACCATGTTGGCCAGGCTGGTCTCAAATTCCTGACATCAGGTGATTCGTCTGCCTCCACCTTCGAAAGTGCTGGGATTACAGGTGTGAGCCACTGCGCCTAGCCATTTTTAATAACTTTATTTTTTTGTTTTGTTTTGTTTTGTTTTTTGTTTTTTGTTTTTTTTGAGGTGGAGTTTCGCTCTGTCGCCCAGGCTGGAGTGCAGTGGCCGGATCTCAGCTCACTGCAAGCTCCGCCTCCCGGGTTCACGCCATTCTCCTGCCTCGAGACTCCCGAGTAGCTGGAACTACAGGCGCCCGCCACCTCGCCCGGCTAGATTTTTGTATTTTTTAGTAGAGACGGGGTTTCACCGGGTTAGCCAGGATGGTCTTGATCTCCTGACCTCGTGATCCGCCCGTCTCGGCCTCCCAAAGTGCTGGGATTACAGGCTTAAATAAAGACTGGGTGCGGTGGCTAATCGCTGTCCCCACAGGTATTAAAGTCTTTCACTGACTAGCAACACTGCACAGAGGTAACATCAAATGATCTCCTGCTGTACCATGTTGTACTCCCAAAGAAATCCTAGCACCTGGAAGGCCAAGGTGGGAGGATCAATTGAGTCCAGAAGTTCAGGACCAGCTTGGGTAACATAGCGAGACCCCATCTCTACAAAAAAATTTTTAAAAATAGCTAAGTGTGATGGCATGTGTCTGTGGTCCTAGCTACTTGCAAGACTAAGCAGGCGGATGACTTGTGCCCAGGAGTTAAAAGGCTGCAGTGAACTAAGATTGCACCACTGCACTCCAGCCTGGGCAACAGAGTGAGGGCCTGTCTCAAAAATAAAACACTGCTGGGTGTGGTGGCTCACACCTGCAATCCCAGCACTTTGAGAGGCTGAGGTGGGTGGATCACTTGAGAACAGGAGTTGGAGACCAGCTTGGCCAATATGGCAAAACTCCATCTCTACAAAAAATACAGACAGTAACTGGGTGTGATGGCACATGCTTATTATCCCAGCTACTCAGGAGGCTGAAGCAGGAGAATTGCTTGAAGTTGCAGTGAGCCAAGATTGCACCACAGCACTCTAGCCTGGGTGACAAAGAGAGACTCTGTCTCAAAATAAATAAATAAATAAATAAAAAATAAAACAAAACTTTACATAAAAGTAAAACATGCAAAATGCTAAGCAGTATTTGGAACAAGGTATTATTAGCTATTATTATTAGCAGTGTTCTACCTAGAGAGATCAAAATACTGTGCTACATCTAGCACTGAGAGTGTCCCAGTGTCTCTCAAGCACCCACTAGTTGCTTTGTAAGGTATCTGCTTCCTTTCCTATAACTTGAGTTGCTTTACTCTTAGTACACTTGAAAAATTCAGTGTCAGGACTAGTATATTTTATTTTCAGATGCAAGCAGCAACTTTGGCATTTCTTATCACAAAAAAACTATATGAGAAAGCTGGCAAGCCCAGTGAACTTCCTGGCCGGAGAGGTTTTTCCATTAAAGGTGGTAAGGTTTGATCATCCACCATCTTTAGAGTTTGACCATTGAGTTGGACAGCTCTGCAAAGGGGAAAGATACACCGAGTTAACCAAGTGGTGCAAGCCCCACCTATGCCCCTACAAAAGTCATGAAATCTTTATTAGACCAAATAAACTTGTGTGTGTGTGTGTGTGGCAGCCTATATTATATAACTTGTATTTCAACACTGTATCAGTTAGGCATTTGACTAGATAATCTTTAAGCTACAATGGCAGAGTTGAGTAGTTATGATAGAGATCATATGGACCCCAAAGCCAGAAATACTTACTGTCTGGCCCATTACAGAAAATGGAACACACACAATCTATACTAGGCAATATGATGGCGGTATTAAAAGGATAAACATGACACACCTTCTGGAATGGTGGCTATTTTATTTAATGGCCAATAATTGAAACTATTTCCATATAAAGCAAATAGATATGTAGAATAGAATGCAGTTTCTATGAATTTAGCATAAATGGTAGCCAAAGAAATTTCTCACTTTCTACGCCCATAAACTGTAACTACGCCCATAAACTGTCTAACTCCCCTCTCCCTGCCAGAGGTAATGCATTCATTTTCTTACTATTATTAAGAAATTTTGGTAGAATGCTGTGGTGAACCAAAAACAATTTGGCTAAACTACAGAACATTTTATATTTCCTATGTATTTCACTATTGGAATTCAAATTAAAGACTTGAATGTTTTTAAAAATTAAGGGAAAATGTTATTTCTTATACACACTTATTATTATTTAAATCAAATTAATGCATATTCACAGAAGCAAAAAAATATGGACAAGAGCTTATGAAGAAAAGTTTTAGTCAGCTGTAGATCTATTGATATTTTCATAATTCTAAATAAGATGCTTATATCCCTTTTCCTCAAATACGTTTTATATTGTGAACCAAGTTAGCACTCTTTAAATATTGAAAACTTGTAAGATTAGGCTGAGCACGGTGGCTCACACCTGTAATCCCAGCACTTTGGGAGGCTGAGGCAGGTAGATCGCTTGAGGCCAGGAGTTCAAGATCAGCCTGGCCAACATGGCAAAACTCCATCTCTACCCAAAAATACAAAAATTAGCTGGGCATGGTGGTGTGTGGTGTGCGCATGGCTGAGACATGAGAATTGTTTGAACCCGGGAGGCGGAAGTTGCAGTGAGCTGAGATTGCACCACTGCGCTCCAGCCTGGGCGGTAGAGTGAGATTCTGTCTCAAAAACAAAACACAAAAAACAAAAAACAAAAAACAAAAAAACAACGGAGAACGTATAAGATTAGTTACTGTCAGAGTTATATTTATATCATTTATGTAATACATGTAATGTATGTAGAACACTTACAACAGGGTCCTTTATATAGTAAACACTATAAAAGTATTATCTATCATCACTATTATTACTCAGATAAATATACAAAAAGTAACCTAAGTCACCATAACCATTTTAAACATTTTGATGTATATCCATTCTTTCATCTATTTTTTATGTACATGTATACAGTCATATACCACATAAGGATGTTTTGGTCCACCACAGACTGCATATATGAGCGTGGTCCCATCAAATTATAAAATTATAATTCCTATTGCCTAGCAATATCATAGCCATTATAATATTGTAGCACAACACATTAGTTTTCTATGTTTAGATATGTTTAGATACACAACTACTTAACCCAATGGTAACTTGTATATTCACTACAGTAGCATGCTTTACAGGTTTGTAGCCTAGGAGCCACAGGCTAGTCATATAGCCTGGATGCATAGTAGGCTAGACCATCTAGGTTTGTGTAAGTTCACTCTATGATGTTCACACAAGGATGAAATCACCTATCGACACATTTCTCAGAAGGTATCCCCATCATTAAGCAATACATCACTGTACACATCTTTTTTTTTTTTTTTTTACTTAAGTATGGGTATACTGTATTTTCTTAAAACTTGATTCTTCCCCCTGCCCCAGCACATCCTTTTTCTCACACCATTAAACATTCATCCACTACTTAATTTTAATGTCTGCACAGGATTCCATGGTGTGAGTATATTATTTACTTAATTCTCTAATGTTAGATATTTTTCCATGTAGCATTATTACATATATTTTTTCACTTAAAAAAATCTCTCACACCCTGTCCTCATTAAGCATCAGTGAGCAGAAAAACTGGTTTCCATTTTGACCTAATGAGATGCTCAGTCCTGGGTTCTGTAACTTAAGACATATCAGTAGCATGTGCATGATGGTGGCAGAGGCTAGCATGCCTGCATTGCAGTTGTCCTCAGTCTATATGAGTTGGTTTTGTTTAAAAGCCTGTATCACCTCAATTTTTAGATGGGGAGAAGGAGGAAATGTCATGACCATCATCAGGAAACCACAAACAAAAATAGGTCTTGAAAATATCTCCAACTGACAGTGTTAAGAGTCTGTTCTGCATGAAATTAAGAACCTTGCAAGAGTACACACAAAAGTTTTAGATATGCTTTTGGAGAGGATATTTTGCTACAAAGTTTAAAGGTAAATTTGGTCATTGTGAATTAATCCTGCTGTAGATAAGACAAGGTAGATGGGCAAGATATTATACCATTAGGCTATATTGTTTAATCAGCTGTACATTTATCTAAAAGATGCTACACATATATCAAGGGTAAGTTTAATGTATGCTGATTATTTTCACATCAAGCTGGGCAATGAGGATGGGGTTTAATTTGGGTATAGTGTCTTATTTTATATTCTGAAGTCAATAACATGATGACAAAGAAATAGAAGATGTTTGTCAAATTTCAGATGAAATGAAGCTGGAAGGAATTAGCAAGCAACAGATTCGGCAGAAGTGGGGATACTGGGCAAAATTTATGAGATAAATATAAAATACTGCCTTTATGTTAAAAATATGTTCATTCAGCCCAGATGAGGTGGGTCATGCCTGTAATCCCAGCACTTTGGGAGGCTAAGGCAGCAGGATTGCATGAGTCCAGGAGTTCAAGACCAGCTTGGGCAATATAGTGAGACCTCGTCTCTATTTAAAAAAAAAAAAAAGTTCATTTAAATATTTATTAAATACTTACTATGCAGGACTCTAAAAATTTTTAGGGCTGGGTGCAGTTATTCATGCCTGTAATCCCAGCACTTTGGGAGGCCGAGAAAGATCACTTAAGCTTAGGAGTTTGAGACCAGCCTGGGCAACATAATGAGACCCTGTCTCTACAAAAAATTAAAAAATTAGCCAGGTGTGGTAGCATAAGCCTGTGGTCTCAGATACTCAGAAGGCTGAGGAGGAAGGATCACTTGAGCCCAGGTAGCGGTGGCTGCAGTGAGCTGTGACAGCACCACTACACTCCAGCCTGGGAGACAGAATGATACCCCTGCCTCAAAAATAATAATAATGATAGTAATAATTTTTAAAGGTGACTGCTGTTTAACTCTCCGAGGTTGTTAATACGAGCAAACATACAGACTGTGCACTCATAAACTTATGGTGTACTTTTTTGCAAAATTTTAAAGACAAGAAGAGTGTAAGTAATATATACTCATCAAAGAGAATTTAGGGGAATTGTCTATAATTTCTATAACATTGTCTATAATTTCACCAGTTTTCCAATTATAAAACATGAAATGTGTGATCAGAATGTAATAGGGACAGGGCACGGTGGCTCACGCAGGTAATCCCCGCACTTTGGGAGGCCGAGGTAGGTGGATCACTTGAGTTCAGGAGTTCGAGACCAGCCTGGCCAACATAGTGAAACCCCATCTCTATGAAAAATACAAAAGTTAGCCAGGTGTGGTGGTGGGTGCCTGTAATCCCAGCTACTCGGCAGGCTGAGGCAGGAGAATCTCTTGAACTAGGAGGCAGATGTTGCAGTGAGCCATGATCTCTCCACTGCACTCCAGCCTGGGCAACAGAGCGAGACTCCACCTCAAAAAAAAAAAAAAAAAAAAGTAATAGGGTCTACTAAATACAGCAAAAAGAAGAGTCATTGGAGAAATTGGTCATAGTTAGCCTAAAGTGAAGACAATCCAATTTTCCTTCAAACATTTGGGAATTATTCCAGAGAAAATGAGGTATTCAGGATTGCTCCAAATTAGGGGTGGCAAACTCAAATGACACAAAGGCCAAGAAAGTGATAGGTGCAAGAACAGTAGGACAGGTGTAAGATAATAGGGTCAGGTAGAGACTGCAGAGAGCTGCAAAGCTGAATGACCTGTCTAAAGTATACAATCCCCATTTAATTCCAGCTAGTTGGGAAAGCAAGCCCAGAGTTGCCGTAGTATCCATTTTTAAAGAAAAGCTGGAGATTCAGATATTTTAATAGCTGTCAATTTTTCGATGCTGACAATTAACTAAAAACAAAACACAAAGTGCATGCCAACCTCCCCTACCAGAAAAAGGGGAGGGGGGAATCCTCCAAACTAACTTGTCTACAAGAATGAGGTATAGTTTCCAACCTCTCCTCTAGAGAACAGAACTAAGAGCAGCAAGTGAAGGCACCGAGAGGCTCACTTTATCCTTGCCAGAGAGAATAGTCACCCTGAAGGGCTTTCCATGGGTAGTTGGACTAAAATGATCTCTTATGATGCTTCCAACTCTACAACTGTTATTCAATTACTTCAGAAAATTATTTTTTATCAGCAGCAAACACAAATATGCTAAAAAAAAAAAATAACCATTTCAAAAAGGGTCAGAACCTAAATTGAAAAAAGTATCTGTTACCCAAAAATGCATTATTTACAACAAGGGGAAGAAAATATTTAAACAGTAGGAAAATGGTTAACTAAACCATGGTAGTATTTTATAAAACATACAGCCCATTAAAAATGTCTACAAAGGGACCAGGAAACTTTGTATCCAGCACTTTGGGAGGCCAAGGCAGGTGGATCACCTGAGGTCAGGAGTTCAAGACCAGCCTGGCCCACATGGTGAAACCCCATCTCTACTAAAAATACAAAAATTAGCCGGTGTGGTGATGCACGTCCTTAATCCCAGGTACTAAGGATCCTGGCTGAGGTGAGAGAATTGCTTGAACCTGGGAGGCGGAGGTTGCAGTGAGCCTAGATCACACCATTGCATTCTAGCCTGGGTGACAGTGAGACTCTGTCTCAAAAAAAAAAAAAAAAGAAAAAGAAAAAGAAAAGAAGAAAAAAATGTCTATAGAGGCCATGTTGGAAAGGCTCTTGGGAAGACTTCCAGATCTCTCCCCCAACCCTGCCTTTTCCTATTACATGTTATATGATTATAGTTATAGTAAAATAAAGCATAGAAGGGAAAAAAATAAAAGAGCAGTACCCAGTGTTAATAATGTTTGTCTGTGGGGGATAGGACTTTGAAGAGAGCATGCTTACTGTACTACCTCAAATTCTGAGGCTAATAGTCCTGGAACACATCACTTATGTGGCATTTGCAAAGATGGGAGGAGATGGTGAGAATTTTGTAAACTCTTAATATTTATTTACTTATTTATTTATTTATTTTTGAGACAGGGTCTCACTCTGTCACCCAGCCTGGGTGACAGAGGCACCATCACAGTTCACTGCAGCCATGACCCCCTGGGCTCAAGCAATCCTCCCACCTCAGCTTCCCAAGGAGCTGGGACTACAGGCACGCGCCACCATGCCTGGCTAATTTTGGTATCTTTTTGTAGAGAGAGTTTCACCATATTGCCCAGGCTGGTCTCGAACTCCTGGGCTGAAGCGATCTGCCTGCCTCAGCTTCCCAAAGTCTTGGGATTACAAGGCGTGAGCCACTGCTCCAAGCCTGTAAACTCTTTTTATGTTCCAATATGAGAGTAGTCATGAGAAAGGAACTCCTTCCAACATACATTGAACAGAAACCTCAAAATATTTATATGTCTAAATCTTCAAGACTCATCGTCATTTTTGGCACTCCATTGAATACAGGCTTTTATAAGATGTAGTCAATAATTGGTTTTTGAAACCAAAATGTATGAGAATCTACTTAAGAAGTACACTGTAGCTATTCTTTTTCTTACTCTAACCAATACAAATTAATGCTATAAAAGAATCACACTGATCTCACATGGTATGATATTTTATACCAACCCACATACCTTTAACAGCAATTATATACAGGTATATTTTGCTTTAGTGAATGTGTTATCAAGAATTATGTCTTTTTAGAGTAAATAATTTAAATGCATTGAGTGGATCTTGATATGTCAAGTTATTTTGAAATGCAAACTTATTCTCTAAGATAACTGCTAGTTTGTGTTCACATCCTTTTGCTTTAGACTCTTAGGGTGAGTTACACTCATATTAGTAAGTATTCATATATAAATTTCCTGAATATGAAGAATTATTAGAACTTGAAATAGTTGACTTTGTCTTTTGCTCCCTGTCCAAACTCTCTGTTCTGATAAACACCAATACATTTATTGAAAGTTTGGAATGAACAAGGAAAATTACTTACTTGGAAAGTAATCCATGAGGTCCCAAAGGTCTTAGAAGGTATTTATCCACTTGCTTCTCAAAATAAGGATAGGGTAACCGCAAGTACTTGGTGACATTATGGAGGTTTATGGCATACAGAGTTAAATCTCCTTCTTTATACATTGGACTAAAAGCAAAGAGGTTAACTCAATAAAAATATTTATCTAATTTAAGCAATTAAAAACTCAATTACAAATGTGATCCTAAGTATTAGTATCCATAATGACAATCCATAATGCATCCTAAGTTTTAGGATCCATAATGACAGTGGGCGCTCTTAATATCCTTCTTTTATGATCATATTAGACCACTAGTGTGGTCCTATTTTGAAAACATGATTAAAAACATTGCCCTTCATGCTACCAATGTCTGGGCTAGAGCACGCTGAGATCCTCACAGCTCTGCCAGCTGGGTTGCTAGGAAGCCAGCCAGACTATCCATTTACAGACATAGGAAGGTAAAAGGCAAATTTTATGGGTTCATGTGAATTCACATTATAAACAATAAAACAGGGGCTTTTCCTAGCCTTACAAAAAGACTGAAACAAATAAGAACACTAAATCTACTGACGTTTCTTACGAATTTATCCATTCAAACCATTCCCCTTGCTACTTCCCACTGGGGTCCTCACTATCCACAGAGTTCCCAGTCACCAATAATCAGAAATGGTCGATGGTCTTTTTTGGCTAGAATTAGTATTTCAGTATCGTCTTACCAGGAATGATAGATTGAAACCTATCTAGAGAATATTCCTGAGGTTTAGGAACATTTTTTGCTACCTAAAGCAAGAGTATGAGGCTACAAAAATCTCTATGTCTTCTCAACTCCAGAAACTGCGGTCACAACTTTTGAAAATAATATTGTTGTTATTATGGTTCTCCTCTTCAAGAATCACTTGAACCTGGGAGGCAGAAGTTGCAGTGAGCTGACATTGCACTACTGCACTCCAGCCTGGGTGACAAAAAACAACAACAATAAAAGTATCATTTTTCTTTTAAAAATAAAATAAAATAAAATCGTTGTATAAAACTTTACTAAACTGCAACCGCCTACACTTACGCAATGTATAGATACATGCAACAGGGTGTTTGAGTGAAGTTACGTGCGCACCCACTAAAACTTGATGATTGGTAAAGGGTGTGTCTCATACTTACTTGTCAATGTTTGTGCAATGAAGGTATACTCGAAGGTTCCTTCTCTTTGGGCCTTTCACGCTTGCCATTAACACCTTGGTGCCCACCAATTTCTTGAACAGAAGAGATAGCCAATAATCCTTGTTGTGGTGGTTGGAGACAAAAATAGATCTTTACTTACTTCCTTATTTAAGAAAACCAGTGGCAAGCAAATAGTTATCCTACAAATAGTATCACTGTTATCCTGGGAGCATTTAAATAGGATTCATCTTTTTTTTCCTCACATGTGACCACCGTGAATCTGACAGCAGTATCTTGCTTGCTGCTGTTTAGCACTGGAGGACACAATTCAAAAGGCCATATCCTCTAGGGCATATCTGTCAAGAATGATCAGAGTTTAAGTATCCTTGGTTATCGTTCATCTGAGAATTCAAAGCAAAGCTCAAAGCCAAACTTTAGACACACACACACACACACACACACGTACACACTCACAAAGACAAATTTTTAAAGTAAAACTTTTGTCTAAGAGACAAATAATTTCATTTAGGCCAGACACAGTGGCCAAAGTGTAATCCCAGAATTTTGGGAGGCTGAAGTGGGTAGATTGCTTGAACCCAGGAGTTCAAGATCAGTCTGGGAAACATGATGAAACCCCTTCTCTACAAAAAATATAAAAAATTAGCCAGGTATGGTGGTGTGCACCTGTAGTTCCAGGTACTCAGGAGGCTGAGGTGGGAAGATCACCTGAGCCCAGGGGGTCGAGGCTGCAGTTAGCCATAATTGCGCCACTGCACTCCAGCCTGGGAAACTAAATGAGACACTGTCTCAAAATAAAAGAAAAAAAATTTCATTTAAAACCTTATTCCCCCCACCCCAATGAAGTAATGGATTAGGCAATGGTCATCACTAGCTATCAAGATCAAAACCAGACACAACCAGACATTATGTGCTTCCAGAAGCACATAATAAAGCATTCTTGCAACAAACAAACAAACAAAAAACCAAAAAAAAAAACCTGAATAAACTCAAGCTTCTAGGTATAACTACTAGTTTACAGGAAACATAGGGGACAGAGGAACATGCTAAATGATATCACACGAATAAATTTAGCAAACTCCAGAATGTAGGAAATACTATAGAACAAATTACCTATTTTTTCACATTAATAAATTATAAGAGATGAAAGAAAGGGAGGAAGAACTTAAAGATGAAAAAACTTAAGAGACAAATCAACCAAATGCAATATATGAACCTTGTTTGGATTCTGATTTGAATAAACTATCAACAATATTTTAGACAATAAGGAAAATGTAAGACACTGACAAAATATTTGGTGATACTAAGGAATTATTGTTAATATTTAAAGTATGATAAAAGTAGTGTGTTTTTCCAAAATGATCCATACTAAAAATATATATATATATATATATATATATATAGGTCTCACTCCATCACCCAGGCTGGAGTGCAGTGGTGTGAACGCAGCTCACTGCAGCCTCAACCTCCTGGGCTCAAGCAATCCTCCTGCCTCAGCCTCTCATGTAGCTGGGACCACAGGCATGTGCCACCATGCCCAGATAACTTTTTGATTTTTCATAGAGACGAGGGGGTCTCACTTTGTTGCCAAAGCTGGTCTTGAACTCCTGGGCTCAAGTGATCCTCCTGCCTCAGCTTCCCAAAATGTTGGGATTACAGGTGTAAACCACCACACCTAGCACATACTGAAATATATATAGATAAATTAATATATCTGAAATTTGCTTCAAAGTAATCTAATAGGTAGGAGGTGAAAAGTGGGAAGGATTATGGATCAAACGAGATCAAAGTATGCAGGAGGAAAATATAATTTTCCTTCTACTGTTAGTTCTTAGTTGGGATGGATCTCTGTAACAAGACAGAAAACAGGAGAAAAACAAACATAAGTGTATTAACATGTGTATTTTATATATTCATGTATATATAAATAGAGAAATATATGTATATATATTATATATATGTGTGTGTATATATATACAGAACATATATTTTCTGTATGTATATATATACAGAACAAGTAATTTTCAAAAAGGTGGCTTAGAACTCCAGCTTATATAGCATCTTTAAGAAAGAACAATACATTTTTGGACAAGAGACATGACAAAGGAAAAGGATTTTGAGTCTCTAGGGGTGGCAAGTTGTGGGAAGGAAAATAAATGAGTATGTAATATAGTTTCTTCTAGTGCCATCTTTAGACTGATAAGGGTCTGAAGTTATCTTCAGTGATTAACTCTTGTTTTTCCTGGTAGAAAGGGAAGGAGGGGGACTTTTAAATTTTATGTCCTGCTTTTAGGCAAATGGAAGAGGACACAGAACTTTTCTTCTATGTGTTTCTTCCCAGTTGCCTTCAGCTCAAAATAATCCTTATGCCAAAGTGGCATATTTTGGGGTGGCATATTCTAGTCTCCTAAAATGGGTTCATATACTTTCCTCTGTATTTTGTATATGATTAAAATTTTCTATAGTAAAAGTTTTTCTTAAAAAACCACGATCGGTGGCAGGCACAATGGTTCATGCCTGTAATCCCAACACTGGGAGGCTGAGGTGGGAGGATCACTTGAGCCCAGGAGTTCAAGACCAGCCTGCGCAATACAGTGAGACCTTGTCTCAATTTTAAAAATAATAAATAAATAAATACATAAATCATCATTCAACATGTACCCCAACTTTCCTTCTTGAAAGTAAAGGGAAAGTAGACTTAACAAGACAAATGGCTTTCGTTTCTCTGCTTAAATTCCACTTTTTCACTGGAGACAAGAGTGGAATCAATGTTTTCAAAGGAGACATACGTATGGGTCAATGACTGGTAGGGTAGAAAGTGTGCGGGCCTCAGAGGCAAGATTTGAATGGGAGTTTTAAGAGTAACGTAGGACTACAGTGTGGCTTCCTGTAAATCAGGTAACCTCTTCTTAATTTGAACTTCCTTATCTAAAAAATGGATCCAAGATACCTGCCTTGCCACCTCACAGGACTGTCATGCAAATAAAACAAATTCACAGACATGTAGAGTGAGTTTAAGCCTAATCCCCTTGGATCTACAAGTGTCAAGGGTACCATTTACTCTTGCACCTTTTTCTAGCTGATTGAGAACCTTGAAGGAGAAGCATATTTAGTGCATATACAAAGAGTTTGTAAGGCAAAGGTTTATGTCTGGGCCCTGGGAAAATTTGGATGAGATATAAAGGTGAGGAGTAGATTTTGAATGTTTGTCTAGTGAAATTACTATGCTTAGTTTAACTCTATAGATGACAGACAGAATATACTTGGGGAAAGATAAATTCCATTTTTGCAAGGTCACTTTTCTAAGAATTTTCTTAAAAAGGATGAGTAATATGTTCCACAAGCTTGGGCCACTATAGATAAAAAGCAATTTTGTTAGGAAGTCTATCCACAAACCACAAAAGCCTAGCTTATATTTTCACATAGGCTCTCTGCAAAATTTCTTAGCTTTCCTACCACATTCAAATAATTCTTTTAGGAATTATTCTTAGAAAACAGATATCTGCAAATGACATTTTAGACTATAAAAATCAAGGTCATGCTTCTCAGGGCTACATCTGTATTATCCCTGACATATATTTAGACATATAGATCTTCCATGAGGCTTTTTGGGAAGAAACATTTCCTGATTTAGCACCAGATGCGGTTGGAGGAAGGATTAGACATGAGACTTTATTCATAAATATCTTGAAGATTATTAACAAAATAGTAAATTCTTAGCATGAGATTTTTAAGCAAATACATGGTACTGGCTCATTTTAAGGTTAAATAAATCATAATTTCATAACAAAAAATGTTTTGAAGCTTTGCATTACTGTAGGCAATTATAACTTTGATTTACTTTGTAAAATATTTAAAAATCCAACTTGTTTTATCTTATATAATGAGTCATAAAATTTCAAATTATCCCCTTTTAAACAAAATCCACACTATACCGCAAATGGCTTACATTTAAAAAGTTATTCCTAGCTCTTGATTTCTTCTCTTCAAACACACACACAAAAATATTAGATTGGTTGATATCTAAGGCTCCTTCTAATTCATCATCTCATGATTTGGCCAGTTACTGAGAGGATTGACTATTCATAGGAGGTTAACACCAGGAGTCCTGAGTTGACTTTAATCTTCTGTACTAGAATTAGGAAAATAATGGTCACTTACAGGTAAAGGATCGAAGTTTTCATCCACTAAATGGTAGTTTCCGGCTCCAAAGAATACTTGCCTCATCACCACTTCTATTCCCATTCGGGCTGACAGGCCCAATTTATCCAGCCACCTGGGACAGAGCGAGACCAAGCTTTCTTCAGGTTTGGAAACAAAATTGCTCAATTCTAATTAGCACACCTTCTTGATTTTATTTATTTATTTATTTAGAGACAGGGTCTCACTGTTGCCCAGGCTGGAGTGCAGTGGCGTGATCATAGCTCTCTGCAACCTCAAACTCCTGGGCTCCAGTGATCCTCCTGTCTCAGCCTCCCAAGTAGCTGAGACTGAAACCGCCTTTGCAGAAATTATAACTGAGGAAATTCTGACAGTGAAAGAGATCAGACCTAATTGACTCCATCTTGCTTCTGACCTTTCAGCTGTCCTTGTTCATTCCTGGGTGTAGGCTGAACTAACTTTGGGAAGAAATTCACTTCATGATTTGACTCTGAAACAAAATTGAGAATAGCCCTTTTCTGAAAAGACCCCCTTCTTGCCTGGGGACCAGTCTACCTTTGCAGGACTAACAAATTAGCTACAACATTAGAGATTACGGTTTAGGGGTAATGCAGCCTCTGGCTCCAAGAGTGTGAACCTCCCCAAATTGTTCCTGGGGATAACATCGCTGTTGTAAAAACCTAAGATCAGCACTTGAAATATCTCACAGACCCTGAACTGGATGGATTAGTTCAGACCACCGAGACCGGTAATCTGGCCCAACCAGTTCTGCCATCCCATCCAGGAACAGAAGACAGCAAGAAAACCTCACTTCCACTCCCTATGATTCTATCGTCAACCTGACCAATCAGCACTCTCCACTTCCTAAGCCCCTACCCGCCAAATTATCCTTAAAAACTCTGATCCTCAAATGTTCGGGGAGACTGATTTGAGTAATAGTAAAACTCTGGTCTCCTGCACAGCTGGCTCTGCATAAATTACTCTTTCTCCATGGCAATTCCTGTCTTGATAATCGGCTCTATTTAGACAGCAGGCAAGGTGAATCTGTTGGGCGGTTACAGGACCACAGGTGTGTGCCATCATGTCTGATTCTGATTTATTCATCTTTGAGGGAGGAATTATCAGGAAGCCACAAAAGTGTCATCAATTAGAAATAAGTCATTTAAATGAAATGGCGACTGCATGCAGCAGCAGCAGCAGTAGAATCCCTCCCTTTACATCTTTCCATACGATAAGAAATCCGAGAAGACTGTTACCATGCTAGAGGTATCCCTTTCAGGGTGAGACAACTTCCACAAAACAAAGTAGACAAATTCCCACCCCTATAGACAATTCCTGGTCCTATGAGGTCCCTGCACAAACAATGTGTGAGGACTAAAGAAAAAGTTGCTGTCAGCAAGGGTAAAATGTAAAATAAGCAGAATTGCACCTAAGCTATTATGGGCACCTCTTTCCACTTCTCCTTCTCTATCCCCCTCTCCCCGACACCCCAGATCTTTAGTTAATGGCAAAACAAACATCCCCGTTCTTTATTCCTCATGCTTCCATGGGCATAAAGGATTTGCAGTTTATTCTAGGCTTATAAGAATGAGGATGAGAGAAAAAAGAATGAAGATGGAAGAGAAAACAGAAACAAATCTCGCTTTCTTTTTTTGTGTTTTTTGGGACAGAGTCTCGCTCTGTCTCCCAGGCTGGAGTGCAGTGGCACAATCTCGGCTTACCGGGTTCACACCATTCTCCTGCCTCAGCCTTCTGAGTAGCTGGGACTACAGGTGCACGCCACCACGCCTGGCTAATTTTTTGTATTTTTAGTAGAGACGGGGTTTCACCATGTTAGCCAGGATGGTCTCGAACTCCTGACCTTGTGATCCGCCCGCCTCGACCTCCCAAAGTGCTGGGATTACAGACATGAGCCACCTCGCCCAGCCAAGAAACAAATCTCAATGTGAGGATATAGCACTACAGATTAAAAGCACTAACAGAGTTACTAAATGTAACTAAACCAGTATTTTAAAGCAATCAAGTTTGTCGTGTTGGATAATGAGATGATTTAATAAATCTTTAAATTCAATGATAGCCCCTCTGGTGGGACTTCATATTTTAGGCTCTAAACTTCTTGGGAATCTATGAATTATAGCTACATACACTAAGTATCCTCCTGAGAGACAAAGCTGTAATATGCTCTAACTTGCATTTTTTTTTTAAGAGACAGGGTGTGGCCAGGCGTGGTGGCTCATGTCTGTAATCCCAGCACTTTGGAAGGCTGAGGTGGGCAGATCACTTGAGATCAGGGGTTTCAGACCAGCCTGGGCAACATGGCAAAATCCCGTTTCTACTAAAAATATAAAAATTAGCCCAGTGCGGTGATAATTCTGTAGTCCCAGCTACTCAGGATGCTGAGGCAGGAGAATTGCTTGAACCCGAGAGGCAGAGGTTGCAGTGAGGTGAGATCGTGACACTGCCCTCTAATCTGGGTGACAGAGGGAAAAAAAAAAAAAAAAAAAAGACAGGGTCTCACTCTGTTGCCCAGGCTAGAATGCAGTGGCACCATCATAACTCACTGCAGCCTCAAACTCCTGGGCTCAAGCAGTCCTCCCACCTTGGCCTCCCAAAGTGTTGGGATTACAGGAAAATACCATATCCGGCTATATGCATTATTTTACAATGTACTTCTTTAGAGGAAGGACTACTTGACATATTTATGGGCCATAATTAAAGGACAAAATTTCTAAAACAATTTATCCTTATAGTGATTAATTTAGGACACTTGTCAAAGATGTCCATCAAGCTTTAGTAAATCATTTTCTTGCAAAATCTGGCATGAATTTTGGGGTTCAGTCACTGAAACTGTCTTTGATCTGCTTTTTGGCTGGGGAGCTATTTCAGCGGAATAGAAGGATGGAGAAGAGCTGCACTCGGACCCCTAAGGCCAGTGCTGCTTCACTCACATAAAGCCAGCTGCAAAGGTGTCGGATAGCAAGGGCGCTCCCCCTCCATATGCAGAGCTTGTTTCTCCTAACCAGACCTTCTTGCCAGGCCTGGTGCTCTCAACCACCTATAGAACAGAAAAGTATTCATGGTAATTGCAAAAAAGCTGACCTGTGGCTTCAACTGTGGTGTTGGGGCATTCAAAACTTTGTATTCCTAGACCTACCCATCCTATATGGTTATAAAATATGTCCACAGTCATTTAATGGGAAATTTTCTTTTATTGAAATAGTAGGCTGTGGAAGGAATATGAAGTGAACCAACCCATTCTTATCATCTATGAGAGTTAATTCTACTAAAGGCTATTGGAAATATTTCAAGTTTCTAATCACACACATGGGGTAAGACCCAATGCTAAGGGGGAAACTAACAGTGGATAAGTCATAATACTTGTTCTCTAAAATTAGAAAAACATGTAAATATACATACCTATAGAATTTAGAACTAGCTAGCCTATAAAATAAGGATTCTGGTTTTACATTAAAAATGTTAAAAAGACTATTACCTGGAAAACTTTTTGCACAGATGAAATAAAAATGTCCAATACATCAGGATTTAGAAAATCTTCTTCGGTAGCAGTTCGTCCATTCAAATAGTAGCTAAATTATACAGAAAATATTCAGAAAAAAATAACAAACTTTATTTTCTGCTTTTATGCTAATTGCTGACCTTATTCTTCTTCTTACCTCTCCCACTCACCTGTTATTAAAAAAAGTAGAAGTTCTACTAGGGAAAGACCAAGATGGAAGTGGGTTATGAGGAGGAATCCATTCTATGCAAGTAACTAGAAATCAGTTACTCTGTCTTGAAAAAACACAGTGGCAAGTACATGTACTCCTGGATTACTGGTTCTTTGGCAAACAATTGATGTTAGCTACTTATATGTTCCATGGGTTAATTGGCACTGTTCTTCTGTATAAAGTGATCTTTATAGAAATTACTACATTATTTAAAATAACTTTAAATTTTTGTTTTATTAATATTAAAATTGGAGCACAGTACTACTTGAGACACTATTTGTTTCTTATCTGAACTGCAGTCAATTGGCAGTTAAATGGAACTAAGTTTTTGAATACTAGATAATAAATAAAGCTAGCCTTACTTTCCTAGTATTAAGAATAGGAGACATACGTACTGATGCCATGTAACTGAATCAATCACTTCTCCACCAGCCTTCAGGAAGCTAGAAAAAAAATTTTAGTATCACTCAGTCATCATATGATAATACATATATATGCACAATATACGCATGAGAGTTTTATTCCCTAGAAATGGGCTGGTTACTGCTTTAGGATGAGGTAAACACAAACTTTCTAATTTTGATAGCAAATTTTATCATAGGTGCCATTTGCCTCAGATCCCTTGATATTCTGAACCTGTCAAAATTTCCTCTTTTGGTAAATCATGTATGCAGGCAGCAAATTGTTTAATAACATGTGGACTATTGAGGATTGTCTATCAGATTTTTTTTTTTTTTTTTTAAGAAAAGTGGTGGCTGGGTGTGGTGGCTCATGCCTGTAATCCTGGCACTCTGGGAGGCTGAGGTGGGAGGATAGCTTGAGCACAGGAATTCAAGAGACCAGCCTGGGCAACATAGGGAGACCCCATCTCTACAAACAAATTTTTTCAAAGTAGCCAGGTGTGGTGGTGTGCACCTGTAATCCCAGCTATTTGTGGGGCTGAGATGGGAGGATTGCTTGAGCCTGGGAGGTCAAGGTTGCAGTGAGCCATGGTTGTACCACTGCACTCCAGTCTGGGTGACAGAGCAAGACTCTGTCTCAAAAGAAAAAAGAAGAAAAGTAAAGTGATTCTGCATCCTCTAGTTCCTACCTCTTCAGCATCTCAGCAGTCTTTCTTCGAGGCTGACCAACATCAGGACCATAGAGTTTTGCATTTTTGAAGGTTGACTTTCTTAGAAGTTTATGCAATTGAATAAAATCTTCTCCTAACTGCGACCCATTGATGAAAATATCAGCCTTCTTAAGGAAACTGTTAGGTTCTGAAAGATAGCAATTCTCAAAATATATATATCGAGAAATGTATTAAAAAGCAAACATACAGCAGTATATAAAAGCAACAAAACATTTTCCAAATTACAAAAACTTGTAATTCAAAGTCAAGAAAAGTAAAACCAGGTCTGGCGTTACGGTTCATGCCCATAATCCCAGCATTTTGGGAGGCTGAGATGGGAGGATCCCCTGAGGTCAGGAGTTTTGAGACCAGTCTGGGTAACACAGTAAAAAATCCTGTTCCATGGAAGGAAAAAAAATTAGCTGGATGGTGGTGGTGCACCCTGTAGATCCAACTTGGGAGGCTGAGGGAGAGGATCACTTGAGCCCAGAAGGTCGAGGCCGTAGTGAGCCGTGATCACACAACTGTACTCCAGCCTGAGTGACAGAGCAAGGCTCTGTCTCAAAAAATAAAATAAATAAGTAAAGTAAAACTCATAGTTATACATAAGATACTCCAGAAAAACAAAACAAAAATTTTAACTGTATAATGGAGATATGAGGGGCTACTAAACAACTTGAAGTTAATAATGAGGGTGATAAACCAACGGATATGGATATCTGGGAACTAGCCTGTATTCCATGTCTAATAACTTCATTTACTTTGGAAAAAAAAAGGTTTGAGACACGGCACAGTGGCTAATGCCTATAATTCCAGCACATTAGGAGTCTGAGGCAGGAGGATTACTTGAGGCCAGGAGATTGAGACCAGCCTGGGCAACACAACCAGACAAAAGAAAAAAAAAAAATTGACTAGGCATAGTGTAGTCCTAGCTAATCAGGGACTGAGGTGTGAGAGACTGCATGAGCCCAGGAGTTGGAGATTACAGTGAGCTATGAACACACCACTGCACTCCAGTCTGGGTAACAGAGCCAGATCTTGTCTGGGAGAAAAAAAAAAAAAAAAAAGTTTGAGCAGGCAGACATGTGCTCACCCTATTACTACATTTCGTCTCCCATTTAATCCTCATTTCCATTGGTTGATATGTGGAAAAAACACTATGTTTTGCATAAATGTGGCGAATCATGAAGACTTATAGTTAAAATTTACAAGTTCTTTACAAAAAAAGAGTGAAGACAATCAGGAGCTTGACCCACGTAGGATTCTATACTGGCAGGTTGTAGACCACTGGGTCCAGAAATGAAGGTTGCAATGGGGTTACTGAGATTAACTGACACGTTTGAGAAACTGAGGAAAGAAGGGATGGATAAAACAAACTGCTGACTTCCCAGTTTTGCTGAGTCCAGTCTGCCAAGCAAAATAGGGTTAAGTGATTCTGAAAATCTCAAGGGAATTTAGGAGCTGGGAAGGTTGCTGACTCCAACTGGTTCTCACCTCAAATGTAACATAAACTGGGATTGGCAATAATAGGTTCTGGAATAGATACAGTAGGAGTTTTCTGCCATATGCACTTCCAAAAGTTGCATTGTTGAGCACTTGCAAGAATGTGCCCAGGCAGAAGTCTATTTGCTAATATTAAAAAGAGTGTCATAAGAAATAATGCTAGTGGGGAATCTCCTTATTAATGAATTGTTGCCTGGGGTACTTACCATTGCCTAGTTCCCAAGACATGTTATACCTCTTGGAAGAGCAGTAGTCCAGCAGCAACTGAGCATTAGAACTGTTCCACTGCAAATCTGCTGTTCTTAATAATGCATTTAGGCCAAAGATCAAGTCCAGTCCTGAGCAATTTGCAAAAGTATACAGCATATCTACAGAGCTTCCTAAAAGAAAAATGTCACAATGTAATGGTTAGATTGGCACCATGATGAGGAAGGCCTCCAGATGTGCTTTTCGTAATGAATACCTATTTCTGTTGTTAAACTGAAGAAATTCTAATTCTAACAAATGATTATGTTTATGAGACAACAAAATTGGACAAATTAAAAAAAATCAATCTCACTTAATTTGCTCCAGCTGTTGAATGAAGTCCCATGGAAGAGACCAGAAGCTCTGGTCTGACACTTAGGTTTTGTTCAAGTGATATCAGGAGAATTGGGGAAGCCATAATTTATAGCTCAGTGCTCCACATGCATGGCCAGACTGTCATTAGTTAGCATAAACCCCACTCTTTGTAATCTAAATATCTCTAGTCACAAGTTTTAAAATATTTTAATAATTTTCATTATATTTAAAACAATTTTAAATCCCTGTATATGATTTATTAATTTAAAGTGAATCAAATTTTACATTAAAAAATTGGCCTAGAGTTATAGGACTGTGGTTTCCAAACTCTGTGCAAGGCAAGTTGGGGAGCACCAGTGAATGCATGGGTACAGTGGCAGGATTTAGCAACTAAAAGTGCAGGGCACCTAAACTTGAACTTCAGATAAGCAATACATAATTTTTAGTGTATGTCGTATGTAACCGTTAAGAAATACTTAACACAGGGGCCAGGTGCAGTGGCTCATGCCTGTCATCCTAGCACTTTGGGAGGCCGAGGCGAGTGGATCATTGAGCCCAGGAGTTCAAGACCAGCCTGGGCAACATGGCAAAACCACATCTCTACAAAAAGTACAAAAATTAGCTGAGCATGATGGTAAGCACCTGTAGTCCCAGCTAGCTACTTGGGAGGCTGAGGTGGGAGGATCACCTGAGCCCAGGGAGGTCAAGGCTGCAGTGAGCCATGATCATGCCATTGCACTCCAGCCTGGGCAACAGAATGAGACCTTGTCTCAAAATTTAAAAAAAAAAAAAAAAGGAAGAAAGAAAAGAAAAATAATTAAAATGAAAAGAATTATTTATCTGAAATTCAACTCTAACCAGGCAATACTATTCACAGAGGCACTGTAGGCTCTTTTAAGTTTGCAAGGGAAAAACATCAACATCTATTGGACAACATAAGACCTATTACTATTAGGTTGTGTAGACCTTACAATTTAATAATCAAAACACAGGTATTTTTTGTGGCCTAGGTGTGCTGTAAAAAAATTTTCTGTGATATTAAGGTACCATAAGTTTGGGAACTTCTGTACTCTGCTTTTTAAACCATTAGCTGTTCTATTATCACATTTTGAGAGTGGCAATAATATAATTTTAAGTGTTGTCTTTAAATTGATTATCATATGCATAATACGTCCTTCCAATTTTCATGTATATCTACAGTCGTTTGTTAAAGAGTAATTCATTCCTGAACTTTTGTAGTTTTAAAAAAAAAAAGATCTCTCTCTATCTGGCAAACTTACACCCTTTCTCCTTAAAAGTGGCTTTGTTTTTGTTTTGTTTTTAAGTCTTTGGCCTGAATAACATAGTATAATATTAAATATTAGCTATTTAGACTGGGCACGATGGCTCACGCCTGTAATCCCAGCACTTTGGGAGGCTGAGGCAGGTGGATCACCTGAGGTCAAGAGTTCGAGACCAGCCTGCCCAATATGGTGAAACCCCATCTCTACTAAAAATACAAAAAGTATCTGGGTGTGGTGGCATGCACCTGTAGTCCCAGCTACTTGGGAGGCTGAGACAGAATTGCTCGAACTCCGGAGGCAGAGGTTGCAGTGAGCTGAGATCACGCCACTGCACTGTAGCCTGGGTGATGAAGCAAGACTCCGTCTCATTAACTATTTAATATTAGCTATAAAGACCACTAGGCAGAAACAACTCTTGCAAGCTGCTTTAGGTGTTTTGATATTTGCTGTGTCACCCACTTCCATAAGCTGCTGCCTACCATCAAGGAATGACAGACATTTGGGTTTGAAAAGCTCCCTAGAGTCCTGTGACCCAGAATTCTACTGGATCTTAGAGCCACAGTTTCGGGCAGTATGGAGGCTTTGGGATCACCAGCCTGTGCTTAACCTCCACCCTCATTTTTCTAGGGGGAAACTGAGATCCAAACAAGGTAAGTCTTTGCCCAATATCACACAGCCATTTGGTGGCAGTACCATTACTAGAGCCTGCTACAAGGGGTGAGTGACCTGCTTTAGTTACATATTATAGGCTTTTATATTTCAAAAACATGTTGTAGAAAGTGCCCTGGATCAGGAATCATAAGACTTGAGCTCCAGGCATAGCTCTCCCACTTACAGACTATAATATAATCGCGGGTAGTATCTTTACCCGACAGGAACCTCAGCTATGGATCTACAGTCCTAGGACAAGCACCATCACATGCCTACCTGTAAAACCAAGGTTGAAATGAGACATGTGAAAACTGGTTGTAAATCACAAAAAACCCTTACAGTTAAATAGCACTTTGTACTAGCCCTGTACAAAGATTATAGCATTTTCAAAAAACCTGGAATGCTTGCACTCATACTTTACCCTTCCTCCATTTCTTCATTCTTCCAAATGTGCTTGGAATTTACATAGCTTGAAATTCTATTATACAACCCCTATAACATAATAAACTGTAACATCTCCTGGAATAGAGGCTATTGATGACTGAGTTCAAATCCGTTCTTTTTTTCTTTCCTTTTCTTTTCTTTTTTATTTTTCTTTTTTTTTTTTTCGAGACAGAGTCTCGTTCTGTCACCCAGGCTGGAGTGCAATGGTGCGATCTCGGCTCACTGCAACCTCTGCCTCCCGATTCTCCTTGCCTCCACCTCTGGAGTAGCTGGGACTACAGGTGGATGCCACCAAGCCTGGCTGGTTTTTGTATTTTTAGTAGAGACGAGGTTTCACTGTGTTGGCCAGGCTGGTCTTGAACTCCTGACTTCAAGTGATCCACCTGCCTCGGCCTCCCAAAGTGCTGGGATTACAGGCATAAGACACCATGTCTGGCCACATCTACTCTGAAGAAAAAAAAAAAAAAGTCACCTAGCCTACTCCTTCCCCAAAATAGGAAGAACAATTGAAAAACTTACAATTCATTATCTTATTCCCAATACTTTTCCAAACTCTCATCTCTTACTGTATAAAGAGTGGAGAGATCCTTGGAATGAAGACAAGCAAGATGACACATTGAAAAAAATGGCAGACTCTTTCCCTTGGACTGTACCATGTAAGTCTATGTCAGCATCCAGTGTAGGCCTGGGTGTAGGCAACAGAAGAATGGGGTGATGAGGGGAACAGGTGGAGAAGAAGAACTACAAAGAGTTAGCTCACTCAGGATGATTACTTTCATAAGGGAGTCATCCTCTCTGCAGTCACACCCAGCATTACATCTGTAACATTGCTTCCTTTTCCTGCTCAAACAGGTTTAAAATGTGAGTCTATATTCTCATGACAAATGGTTTTGTCATCTTCTGCTTAAGTGGAGCACACCATTCAAGAGGACCAGTGTTAGAAAACGTACCTATATATTCTGGGACACTTGTTTTTTTGTTTTGTTTTTTGCTTTTTTTGTTTTGTATTGTTTTTGTTTGTTTTTTGTTTTTGTTTTTTTGAGACAGAGTCTCACTCTGTCGCCCAGGCTGGAGTGCAGTGGCACAATCTCAGCTCACTGCAACCTCTGCCTCCCGGATTCAAGTGATTCTCCTGCCTCAGCCTCCTGAGTAGCTGGGATTATGGGCACCCAACACTATGCCTGGCTAATTTTTGTATATTTAGTAGAGCCGAGGTTTCACCATGTTGGCCAGGCTGCTCTCGAACTCCTGACCTCAGGTGATCCACCCGCCTCAGCTTCCCAAAGTGTTGGGATTACAGGCATGAGCCACTGCACCCAGTCTGGGACACTTGTTTTAAGGGTGCAGGCCACTAGCTAAGCAATGAGCATGTCCTTATCTCTGCAGCCTTTTGCTACCTCTTCCTTTGTGGTATGTCCCCATTGTCACTCAGCCATTACCAACCTCAGCCACAGGTTCACAACAATGTGTGGAATCTCCTATTGGCTTCTAAAATATTTGTCACTACAATGAGTAGGTGCCCAAACTAAACACAGATTTCTGTTTCCATGACGTGCCCATGAAAACTGAAAATTTCAAGCCAGAAATCAAATGTTTACAAATACAAATAAAATTCTGTATTTGTTGTATATTTTAGCATTGCCAACAGGGTAGTCAGACTTACATTAACTAACCCAGTTGCATAGTTAGCAAAGGCAGGCATTTCCCCCGGTGTAGGAACTATGAAAGCCAAGTCCTGTAGTTGGAAACCTACCATTTTGGTAACAGAAAGATCGTGTGAAGTAGCAAAACTGTCTTAGAAACTTAAGATAAATTGGTATAATGTTTAATATGACCCCCCAAGACTTACCTATATCTTCTGGGACATGTGTTTTAAGAGCAAATCCACTAATTACCTAATACAACCGGGTCTTCTCCTAGTGGAGCTATAATGATTTATTACAAATGTGACCTTTCTTCTGTGGTTCTGTGGTACATGTCATTCCTTTAATGGGATCTGAAATGGCCCTGCCTCATGCCAAACTCCATTCAATAATTAATTATACTTATTAAAGTGTCACAGTAGATCCCCCTCTTAAAAATGCAAAAAAAAAAAAAAAGTTTTTTTAGAGGACATTAGCTATTAGCATATGAGCTATTTTCTGATTTCTTATGGATCACCTTTTTTTCTGTACCATATACATAAAAATGTATATAAATTTGAAATCCATCTGATATATTGAACTTCAGGTAGTACATAGCAAAATCTTACAAGGATAATTTATTATCTTTGTAAGTATATAAATATACTAAAGTATAATTATTATTATACTTGAATAATGTTAACTAACCAAAACAAGTACAGTAACTTCAAGAAAATTTATTTTCAAAAGTCAAAAGAACAGTTTGAAGTATCTGAGCAGGTTATTTCTTTACCTGAGATATGGGGCAACATCATTCCTTAGTTGGGTATAAACATGAACCTTCAGATAAAAATATATTTCATAGTTAAAAAAGGATTGTGGCCAGGTGCGGTGGCTAATGCCTGTAATCCCAGCACTTTGGGCGGCCAAGGTGGGTGGATCACCTGAGGTCAAGAGTTCAAGACCAGCCTGGAGTCTGGCCAACATGGTGAAACCCTGTCTCTACTAAAAAATAGAAAAAATTAGCCTGTCATGGTGGCAGGCACCTGTAATCTCAGCTACTCAATAATCAATAATATGATCGGGGGTAATATCTTTACCCTACAGGAACTGAATAATCAAATATTCTTCATAATGAATAGGAGGCTAAGGCAGGAGAATCTCTTGAACCCAGGAGTCAGAGGTTGCAGTAAGCCGAGATTGCGCCATTGCACTCCAGGCTGGGCAACAAGAGCGAGATTCTGTCTCCAAAAAGAAAAAAAAAAAAAAAAGGATTGCTTGTTTCACTTGCTTTAAAGCCCCATGTGACAATGTTATCCTAATTTGAAGACTGGAAGACTGTTTTAGTGACTGAAAATACACTAATGGGTAGCTGAGCTAGCTCTGTGTTTGCAGAAGCCACAGAGGAAACAAAAAGAGAATGCTGCTTGGTGGCCAAGGCTGTCTGGAGTGACTCAGGGCCCTCCTGCCTAATGCTCTAAACCAATGCATAGTGGGGGTTATTTCTGGGAGGGGGACGGACAGCAAGGTATGAATGATGTTCACATTTTGCCCTTTATATGTCTGTATTTTAATTTTACATAAGGAATATATTCATGTTTTCCTTGACTCCCTAGTTTTTTAGAGCAGTGAAGGTCATTGTTAGATCATGAATGATTGATTTATCTTTCACTCTGTGGCTACTAGGCAATGTCAGATGAAGAAAACAAAATAAGTTTTGAGTTCAGGATTTCCCGTTTGGGAAATGCTTCAGTATTTTCAGCTTTATACAACTTCTGTAGGACTTGCTAGATCGGTGCCCAAGTCCAATCTATTCAAATATCTTTGGGGCTGGAACACCTCTAGGGTGCCTTTCATTTCTTACTTGAGTAGGTGCTGTTCTTGAACTTTTTCTGGTAGTGTTCTCGGAGTAGCACTTGCTCCTGGTAGGGCCATTCCGACCATAACTTCTCCTCCACATGAGGAGGGATGGATCCAGATTTGCAAATATCTGCAAGTGGGAGAGATCATTTAGAGGATCTGTTTTCACAGTGAGCAGGCTGAAATCCCATGTGTTTATTTAGTTTGCTATTTATGTGACTAAAGCAGGATAATTAAGTTCTGGTTATGAGGTAGGAGAGCAGAGAAAAGATATATTCTGTAACACGTGTCAAATTTGCCGGCTCATGAATCGCCACAAAGAAAACAACCAAGGGCAGGTTTCCTAAGAAATATTGAACACACACTGAACATGGATATGTTAGACATAGCTCCAAGTTATTTAACAATTCAGAGGGCTCCTCAGAAGCTTAAAATTACTGGCCAGGTGTGATGGCTCACACCTGTAATCCCAGCACTTTGGGAGGCTGAGATGGGTGAATCACTTGAGGTCATGATTTCGAGACCAGCCGGCCAAATGGTGAAACCTCGTCTCTACTAAAATACAGCTACTCGGGAGGCTGAGGCAGGGTAATCGCTTGAACCCAGGAGGCAGAGATTGCAGTGAGCCAAGATCGCGTCACTGCACTCCAGCCTGGGTGACACTGGACGACAAAGTGAGACTCTGTCTAAAAAAATTTAAAAAGCTTGACATTACCAGAGAACTCTAATGAAGACAACACAGTGCAGTTCTCTTCAGGTTCACTTTCAAAATCCATAGCAATTTGTTTTACATGGACTGTATCTGCAGTGTGGTGATTTCCTCTTGCCATCATGGGAGGTAGGATGGGTGGGAACCGTTGATGTTTTTTCCCTTTGAATTTGGTACCATCAAAACTTCTGGGACCACAACATGTGCACTTGAAAAAAATCCACCGTGGCCAGGCACAGTGGCTCACGCCTGTAATTCCAGCACTTTGGGAGGCCAAGGTGGATGGATAGCTTGAGCTCAGGAGTTTGAGACTAGCCTGGAAAACATAGTAAAACCCTGTCTCTACTAAAAATACAAAAAATTAGCTGGGTGTGGTGGTGTGTGCCTGTGGTCCCAGCTACTCGGGAGACTGAGGTGGGAGGATGGCGTGAGCCTGGGAGGCAGAGACTGCAGTGAGCCAAGATCCCACCATTGCACTCCAGCCTGGGCGACAGAGCCAGACCCCGTCTCAAAAAAAGAAAGAAAAAAGAAAAATCCACCCCATCCTGTCAGGCAGATCATTTCTTTATCATAAGACAGCAGGGTTGCCGGGTGCTGGCTGCCAGGGCCGGCTGACTGACCGATGACTTCCTTTCTGGAAAGCTGCACACTGACTTGCTGGTGGCTGATGCCTCATCCATCCCTGGGCTCACAGAGGATGTTTCAGAGGAACTTGGATAACCCCAGTTTCCTCCACCAACCATCCTCCTAGACACAGGATGAAGACAACTGATGAGCAAAGAACAGTTTCCTGTCTAAATGTATGAGATCTTGTGGACACACATGGCTGGTGGGAAAGGGTCAAGTCTAAACAGAAACTAGGTTAGGTATGGTGGCTATGCCTATAATCCCAACACTTTGGGAGGCCAAGGCAGGAGGATCACTTGAGTGCAGGAGTTTGAGATCAGCCTGGATCACATAGAAAGACTGTCTCTACAAAAAATTTAAAAATTAGTCGGGTGTGGTGGCATGCACCTGTGGTCCCAGCTACTCAGGAGGCTGAGGTGGGAAGATTGCTTGAGCCCAAGAGGTCCAGGCTGCAGTAAGCTACGATTGTGCCACTACACTCCAGCCCGGGGAACAGAGTGGAACTCTGTCGGAAAAAACCACCCCCAAAACAAAACACAAACTCATAAACATTCCAACCTGGTATTCAAGGAGAACCCATCTGTCTTTTTTCTATTTTCTCTAATTACTATTCTGTCAATTTAGCCCCAAATACTGACGAATTGCTCTAAATACTTCGTAACTGGAGAAAATAAACAGAAGGAAAAGATATAATATATGAAATACTCAAATATTCCTCATAATGAATATATACATTATATACATGTTATTATAATTCAATGGTGTATACAATATTTTCAGTATTTTTTTCTTTTTAAATTATTGAAAAATAGAGACAGGGTCTCTCTATGTTTCCCAGGCTGGTCTTGAACTCCTGGGCTCAAGTGATCCTCCTGCCTCAGCCTCCCAAAGTGTTTGGATTACAGGTGTGAGCCACTGCGCCCATCCTAGTAATTGTTAAGATATGATTTAACTACCATTTGATGTCTGATAGCACTTCTGAAAGACAGGACAAATTCTCATGGCTCCCTAGGGCAGGTTTCTCAGGTGAAGGCCACAGACTTTCAATATCAGAATCCCCTGACAAACTTGCTCAAATCAGAATCTAACGTTGGAGCCCAGAAGTCCAAATATTTAAACTCACTCAGGTGATCATGGATCTCTTTCACCCATATTCTATTTTTAGAATAAATATCCTTCAATCTATCATTGTATCTTCAGCTAGAAATACTCTCTTTAGTTTGATGCGATTCTACCCACTTGCTCTCTCCAAGCAGCTCTGTCCTTCAGCTACAATCACTGTTCTATTAATATTTACAGTACGATGAGCTCTCAGTTATATCCAGGACATCTTTTTTTGTGTGTGTGAGGTCTCACACTGAACATGACAAACATCATGCCGAGGAAACCTGCCCACTGCCTCCTCCTTTTGTTCAGGTTCCTCCAAAGGTCAGATGAGGGGAGAGGAAGTTAATCTCTTATTAATTGTTAGGTGTGAGAAATAACAGTTTTCTCAAAGCATTCTCATGACAGACTGACGTTAATTAAAATATAGAGTTAATCCTTAAAAATTTTCACCCTGGTTGACTTGAGATTGCCAGTAACTTCTCTCTTCAAAGGTTGATTCCTTCTTGGGATCGAAAATTAGGAAGTCTGTCTTGGTGCCACCAAACCTCAGGTACGCAGGGGACAAGCCTCTGGCCAAGGTACGAAGCTTTGGAGAACTGTTAGGAAGACAAGCAAGAAAGTATAACTATTTTTTCCAAGACTATCTAGTCAAACATTCTTACTTCCTTCTTTCCTGGTGGACCTATTTCTTAACATTTCTCTGTGGAAGACTTAGAGGAGGAAATCATAGTTTTGTTTTTGAGACAGAGTCTTGCTCTGTTGTCCAGGCTGGAGTGCAGTGGCGCGATCTCAGCTCACTGCAACCTCTGCTTGCTGGGTTCAAGCAATTCTTGTGCTTCTGCCTCCTGGGTAGCTGAGATTACAGACAGTATTGTTTAATTTTTATTTTTTTTCTTATTGGGCATGATAGAAAGGGAATCATTGTTTAAAACAGGAAGCATCTCAATCTGAATCTAATCAAAAGACTGATGGTCTAGGCACCTGAGGGCAACTTTCAGCTGTAATTCTGGCAAGAGCTTTTGTGTGTGTGTGTGTGTGTGCGTGTGTGTGTTTGTGTGTGTGTGTGTGTGTAGGGATGGGGTCATGCTATGTTGCCCAGGCTGGTCTCAAACTCCTGGCTTCAAGTGATGCTTCTGTCACAGCCTCCCAAAATGCTGAGATTACTGGCATGAGCCACTGTACCCAGCCAGGAGCTTATGTTTTAACTTGACAAGTAGGATAGTGTTCAACACTTTAAAAAACTCATAGCCTTTTATGATTGATGGGGAAAAAGAAATGACAGAATGGAAACTAAGGGAAAGACAGCTCTGTGTCTGTCTGAAAAACAGATTGTCCGAAACTATGGAACAGTAAAAAGATCAGTGGTTACCACGAAATAGGGGTGGAAATGCAGAGAGGGAGGGATGAATAAGTGGAGAACAGGGGATTTGTAGGGCACTGAAAATACTCTGTATGTTACTATAATGGTGGATACATGTCATTATACATTGCTGAAACCCACAGAATGTACACCAACAGTGAACCCTGCTGTGGACTATGGACTTTGGGTAATAATGATGTGTCAGTGTAGTTCATCAACTGGAACAAACACCTCTCTGGTGGCGATTTTGATAATGAGGGAGGCTATGCATGTGTGTGGGCAGGGGGTTTATGGGAAATCTCTGTCCTTCCATTCAATTTTGCTGTGAACCTAAAACTGCTCTAAAAAACAAAGTCTATTTAAAACACACACACAACTTGGTGCAAGACTTTTTAAAAAGTCTTCAAACACCTGTGTTTCCAGAGAAGTCTATAAATGACTTAGGATCTCTTCTCCTCTCCTTAACTCCCACCTCTCTTCACCATTCCCCACCAAGGAAAATCATTATTATGTATTTAAGTCAAATGACTTAAAATTATATAGGATTCTAATTTCCATCACTGACACCTCTAATTTGAACAATTCTAAATGCATATTCTGTCAAACCAAAAATGCTCCGAATAGGTGCCTATTATGTGCTTAGAATGGTACCAAATGCTAGAAAATGGAATTAGAATGATCTATAATCCCCTCCCTCAAAAAGATGAGGATGTTCATAAATATTTATATGAGCAAAACTGAGAGAACAGAAGACCTGGGTAAGAGAAACACCTGTCATACATTTCTGAAGTATCAAACATGCAAGGCTGGCCACACTGCTTCCTGGAATGTTCTGAAAACATATTAAACCAATGCTAGTAACTCTTGGCCTAATTAGTTTGTCTACATGTAGGTTTATTTCAAGTCAGGAAATTATTCTTGGAGCACTAATTGCCAATACTTCTTCTTCTTCTTCTTCTTTTTTTTTTTTTTTTTTTTTTTTTTTTGAGACAGAGTTTCATTCCCATTGCCCAGGCTGGAGTACAATGGCATGATCTCAGCCCGTTGCAACCTCCACCTCCTGGGCTCTAGCAATTTGCTCACCTCACCCTCCCAAAGTGTTGGGATTATAGGCATAAGCCACCACGCCTGGCCAAATTGCCAGCACCTCTTAATATCTCAGGAATTAAAGATCTGATCTAAAATTTAAAATTTTAAGATGTGCTTATGCTTAATTAAATATGCTATGTAAGAATTTCAAAGTATTTCTTTATGCTTAGGAAATAAACCAAAAGATAGAAATTGAACAAAATGTAAGTCTCTTGTGTTAAAACTTCAGTGATTCCTCCTTACCATATTTTTGTTTGTAACTTGTGAGTCCCTAAAAATACAGTGGGCTCTGGCACTAGGAACCTCAGAATAAAGTGAGATTTTAAAATGTTGTCAACCCGAATTCACCCTGACTGAAACACCTGACAGCCCCAAAGAGCTCTAGGAAGGATGGCATCTGCCATAGGATCCTCAAAACCGCGGCTAAATAAATGGAAATGCTGATCTAAGGTAAGGAAGAAGTAGCTATTTTCAGTTTGGTATGAACCCAAATAAAAATAAATTGTAGGGAGGGGAAAACAGAGGATGCACTACTGTTTAATGACTACAGAGTTTCAGTCTGGGAAGACGAAAAAGTTCTGAGATAGATAGTGGTGATATTGGCACAACAATGTGAGTGTGGTGAATGCACCACACTGCACACCTTAAAATGGTTAAAATGGCAAGTTTTTATGTTTTGTGTATTTTGCCACAATAAAATAAATAGTACTTGTAGTGTAATTTTAACAATAAAAGAATATATATTTATATACGAAAGAAGTATGCCTGGATGATAGCAATGGTCATTATGTGGTAAGCTAGATAGTAGACTTTTTCATTGCTTTCCTGTATTTTACAAGTGTTCCATAACAAGCACATGATATTTTAAATTATACAAGTTGGTGTGTGTGTGTGTGTTTTTTTTTTTTTTTTTTTTTAGACAGGGTCTCACTCTGTTGCCCCAGGCTGGAGTGCAGTGGCATGATCTCGGCTCACTGCCACCTCTGCCTCCTGGGTTCAAGTGATTCTCTTGCCTCAGCCTCCCTAGTAGCTGGGACTACAGGCACCCGCCACCATGCCCAGCTAATTTTTGTATTTTTAGTAGAGATGAGGTTTCACCATGTTGGCCAGGCTGGTCTTGAACTCCTGACCTCAGATGATTCGCCCGCCTTGGCCTCCCAAAGTGCTGGGATTACAGGCATGGGCCACCACATCTGGCCTTTGTGTCTGTTTTAATAGGTGGAAAAAACCAAGATTTTAAGAAGGTAAAGCCATCTGTTAATTTATTCAACAAATATTTGTTGCAGGCCGACTCCGCCAGGCATTATGCTAGTTGCTGGAGATGAATGGTGAACCAGGCGGAAATAGCGGCTGTTCTCATACAATTTGAAGTTTAGTGATCGATACGAACAAGTAAATAGGCAATTCTTAAAAAATGCTATGGAAACATTTAGAGGGGCTCCTAATCTAGACTTTGGGCTGAGGGTAGGGGGTTGGTTAGCGAACGTTTTTCAGGGGAAATGGTTTCACTGCTAGACATTCAAAAAGAATAAACCTTATCTAGATTAAAGAGAGTGGGGTAGGATTGAAGAAAGCAATCCAGGTGAAGGGAAAAGTCTGTGCAAAGACCAGAGATAGAAGAGAAGCTGGCACCACTGACGAGCAGAAGGGTGTGGCTGGTGCCTAGAGATGGGGGGCAGAGAGGCTGGGAGAGAACAGAATGCAGAGGCGAATAGGGCCACATCATGGAGGGCGCCGTAAGCCGCAAGTCCAGGAGTGCCGACTTCCTACGAGGGCAACGGGGAGCCATGGAAGGATCTGAAGCAGTTGGAGTGACCTCACCAGACCTATTTTAGAAAGGAATCACAGGCTGCAGTACAAATAACTGAAGAGAAGGAACAAGACTCTGGTCATGTTAATGTAGAAAAAACTGATGGACTGAGGTAAGGTGACAGCTCAGAGATGGGGAGAGATGGATCAATTCAAGACACACTTAGAAGTGGAAATAATAGATTTGGGTTTTTTAAATAATTTTTTAAAAATGAGACAAGTTTCACCTTGTTGGCCAGGCTAGTCTTGAACTCCTGGCCTCAAATGATCCACCTGCTTCGGCCTCCCAAAGTGCTGGGATTACAGGCATGAGCTACTGTACCTGCCTAGATTTGATTATTAATTGGATGTTGAGGAGGAGTCAAGGATTACTTCTGGGAAGCACCTTGGAAGATGGTAATATCATTTGCTGGATGAGGAATAGGTGATAGATTGAAGATGGGGAGGAACAGGGAGGAGAAGGGGCGCTAAGTTTTGTAGAATTTGAGATACCAATGGAACACCAAAAAACATATTTCCATCCATCAGGCGCTTGGCCCTGTGTGCCTGGAACTCAGGAGACACATATAGGCTGGGAATATAGACAGGCAAGTCCTGTAGAAATACCAGGGACTGGCAACCCCTAGCTCACAGGTCGCAAGGCATGGCCCTAAAACCAAGATGAGGAACTTCCTCAGAGAGAACCACTCCAGGCTGGACCCGTTCCACTGCCTTCCACCAGGCACTGATTCTGTTCCTTGGCATTTTGATTGGGTTTGATGATAGAGGAACCTCATTTAGATTCCTCTAGCTGTATTTGTAAGCAGTCGCGGCTGGGCAAGAGATGGGGAAGTGGGAGGAAACGAGCACCTGGAAAAGGAGCTGTGGCATCACATGACGGGCATCTGTGCGTGACCTGGGTCACGGCCTGGTCCTTAGAGGTACAAACTGTACCACCTTGGTTCACTCTCCATCACACTGCCCTGCCTTCATTTTCTTCATAGCATTCGTTGCTCTCTGAAATCAGCTTCCTTGTTCATTTCCTTGGCTTACTTTCTACTGCAGCCCCATCTCTGCTGCAAGCTCCCTGAGAGCAGGGACCTGACTGACTTATCAGAATCCACCCAATACCTAGATAAGTACTTGGCACACCACTGGTGTTGAAGAAATACTTCAGTGAATGAATGAGCAAGGCCCGCCTGATGTAAGTGTAAGTCGGGGCCAGACGAAGACTGTTTCCTGAACAAAATGAAAACTCAATGCTATCTGGGGTTACCACTTGGACACTGCCAAGTAAAAGAAATCATGTTTCAAAGTTTTGGTATTAAGGACCTTTCTGTTTATCTATTTTGCAATGAA